CACGAGAACGCGTTGACGAAGGCGGTCAACCTCAGAGCCCTGCGTCGGACCCGCAGGAGAAGCACGCCGACGAGAGTTGCGTTCGGAAGGCGCCGAGTACTCGTTCTCGTACGAGGGCACCTCCGCCCTTGCTTGACCGGAGTGGAGGAGTCCACTACCACGTGGAGCGGATTCTCCAGGAGCAACGGCGTCGCGGTAAGAGACAGCTCCTCGTGAAGTGGGGGGGCTGTGCCCACTCCGAGAACTCGTGGGAGCCGATTGAACGGCTCCTGATTGACTGCCCGAAGGCTGTCGCAATCTGGGAACAGAAGCGGCGGCAGCTTCATAAGTAGTCCGGGGCTTCTTGCCCGAACGGGGTACGGACGTTGACGACACTCCGTACCCGCGCTCATCGTGAGCGCTAGAAACCGCGCGCTTCAGAATGTCCCTTGGCAGCATACGCTTGCTGACCCCGTGGGCAAACCGGACACGAATATCACGCTGGTCCAGGATGCGGGACAGCAGCTGATCTTTATGGAGCTCCCGTAACTCCGAGGGTGAGTACTTGAGAGTCCCCACCCATGCTCAGAACATGTCCTCACATGAATTCCAGTTTGACAGTTCTCGGAAAGAACCAGGGGCAGCCCCAGAGAGTATAAAGACCACCCCGGCTCTCGGGCTTCTTACGACAAGTCGTGAAGGCCTTGAGAGGGATTCGGTGCGGCGCGAGAAGCACGCGCCGGGCCGCCTCCAAGTTGTCGACAAACGATCACTCCTTCTGGACCAGGGTACGTTCGTAAACGCCCTTAGAAGTGTGGCCTCCAACAAGGCCACGAGTAGCAACGAGAATCTCCAGGAAGAGGTCAGCCCCAGAGCTCTTCTCGGAAGACCAATACCCTCTTGAGTTGATGGCACCTCCCTGGCTGACAGATGCCACCACCGAGCCCCCACGCGCACGCTGGGCAGCTTGGAAGTCCTCCTGCTGCTGGTCGTGGTCGTTGGTGATCTCCCGGGGCTTAAAATATCACCCTCAACCTCCTCCGCGTCGTCCTCTTAATCCAAGCGGTTCCGATTGGAGTACCCAGTCTCCTCCCGGAGCGGAAACTTCGATCCCGTACGCTTCTTAAAGGGCTTGGCGCCTTTGGCTTTCGCAGCCTTAGCGCGCGCTAGACCCTCGGCAAGCGAGAGATGTTTGCGGGGTTTCTCCTCCTCGTCGTCGCCAGCTTTAGGAGTGCTCTTAGCCTTGACGGTCGGACTCTCATAGCGCACAGACGTCCTAAGACTGTGATCACCGTGATCACTAGCGAGCGATTGCACGCTGTCGTCCTTGTGCTCGCTGGACACTGGACTGTGCCCTCCCGCGGAGCCCACAGGAGCATCGTGAGTGCTCCCGGACTCAGCTTCGTCCTCACCGCCCGAGTGTAACTCACGTTCAGCGAACCGAGGGCTCGGACGGTTGTCTGAAGAGGCCGAGGGTGACGGATTGCGGCGCTTGCTCGTACGCTTGCCCACAGCCGCGTCAGCAGTAGAGCCGATCGCCTCGGAGGCCATCTTAGTAGCCTCCTGGAGTGCCGAGCCTTTGCCGTGAGGCTTAGTGCTCTTGGCTTGGACCTTTCCGGCAGCAGCCTTGGAACGTGGTTTCGCTCAAGCGCTGCTCGAGGCTCTAACTGTGAAGTGAGCCTCCGCCGCGCTCGCGCAGCTGAGTCGATATATTTCGACCTTGAGAATGAAAGTTTGTGACGTACACTTTTCCATTCTGATTGGTCGGTAAACCGAACCTAAGTAACGGGGTACGTATCCCTAAGTGTACCCCTAGTTACATGAAGTGGGACACGTCACACTTCAGAAGTATGACACGTCATACATCGGATATCTGGTACATGGTAAAGGAGTCATCCGAAGCCAATCATTGGCTGATGACATTGCTTTTATATAGGTGATTTAGAGCATCTCCAGCGGTAAGTCCTAACGTGAGTCGTATCGACGCCCCTTCGAGGCCATTGAGACCGCAGTTTTATTTTAAGACTCCGCACCTCTGATTTTGCCGCAACGGGAGGTCTCAAGCAAAGATCTATCTTATTGTTTTGGCGAATCACAACAAGCATTGTAAGCTCCGCCCCCGCCCCCCCCCTCGCCCCCTTCCTCTCATCGAGGGCATGGCAGGAGCTAATGCGGATGCGTTTTGTGACGCAACAGGGGATTCTGATGACGAGTTCTTCAGTCTCTTCATATTACCCGAGCTAAATGCACAGTGGAAGAGGAAGCACGGTGGTTCTGAAGTCGGCAGGCGAGCAGGAAAGGAGCGCAAGAGAGAACAGTATGGGGAGGAGATGATAGCCGACTACTTCTACGATAATCCGACCTACGATGCGGGTACGTTGATTTCCTGACTTGTGAATCTGCTATTACAACAGATCCTGACTTTTAAGTGTCACCACGGCATATAGAGGACTTCCGTCGGCGCTTTAGAATGCGTCGAGACCTATTTGAAACCATCGTCTGCGCTCTTGTCGAGGATGAACACTGCAACTATTTCGTGCAGCGGCCTGATGCTACCGGTTTGTTGGGGTTTCTTCCAGAACAAAAGATTACCTGTGCACTGCGGATGCTCGCATATGGCGCAAGTGCAGACCAGCTCGATGCGGTCATTCGCATTGGTGAATCAACAGCATTGGAATCGTTAAAAACATTTTGTAGCAGCATTACGCGGCTGTACGGACCTGAGTATCTACGCAAACCTACTTCATATGATCTGGAACTGCTGCTAGCTGAAAATGCTGTTCGAGGCTTCCCTGGTATGATTGGCAGTCTTGACTGCATGCACTGGGCATGGAAAAACTATGCATTCTTTGGAGCACCGGGGTCGAATAATGACTTGAATGTCCTGGAGCGCTCCCCACTACTGGATGATTTAGTGAATGGTGAAACACCTAAAGTTTCTTTCAGAGTTAATGACGCAGACTACAGTCACGCTTACTACTTGACTGATGGAATATATCCTTCGTGGGCTATATTCCAGCACAGCATCAGCTCGCCAGCTAACCGCAAAAGAAAGTTGTATGCTGCACTTCAGGAAGGATCTCGAAAAGATGTCGAACGTGCCTTTGGCGTTTTACCGCAGCGCTTTCGCATGATTGCTCAGCCGTGTAAACTTTGGAGCAGTACAGCCATGGGAGACGTCATGATGGCATGCATTGTTCTCCACAATATGATCATTGAGAACGAACAAGGGGATAGTGCTTGCAACAATGAATATCTTTACGAAGATGGTTGGGTAAGTCCCGCATCACCACTGCCGAATGAATTTTGCCCGGTTACCGACATTGCGCAAGTACTGAAAGTAATTGAAGATGAAGCCTTGCATTTCGAGTTGAAGAACGACTTAATTGAGCATGTCTGGAAAGTATCTGGAGAAGGTAGTTAGCATGGTATTGTAATGATAGGCAAACAGCAACCACATACCTGTGGTGTCGAAATGCTTTCGAGCTAACCTGATAGCTGGTTAAAGAAGGAATCGCCAATGGTTTCTGAGTTTGCATTGGCCTCACGGTTCTCTTTATCGCCTTCCTTTTACAACGCGTTACAAGTAGATGCACGAAGCTGGGCCAAAATTGCCTGGCGCTGGATGGCAAAATATTCCTGGGACTCTGCACTGTCCGGAGCCTGCATAAAAATGCTGTACTGGAACTGCTTCTCCATCACTAAAGCCTTCTTTTCCGACGCTGCCACAAATCGTAGATGCAGATCGGTTGGCAAACCATCCTTGCCGACACTTCCAGCAATCTTAGCAGCCTTCGCAGCTTTCTGGCCTTCTGGTCTTGGCACAGCTTCTTTTTTTGCGTTTTGTTCCTAGCGTAGTGCTCGAAGTAGTAAGCCGTTGTGTCCACTTGAGTTTGTCACGAAGCTCATTCCAAGCATCCAAAAACTCAAATGGCTGCTTGTGCCGCTCCCCGTAGATCGATACTGCTGACTTTACGAACATCTCCTCATTCCATCCAGAGCGTTCCTTGCTCTTCAGCTTTGAGAAGATGCCCTCAAATTTTGTCACTTCTGGCTGGAGCTTCTTCCACCTACCAGAAACTGCAGCCTCCGATCGCTCGTCTGCACCAGTTCCTCGCTGTGCGAGCCAATGCTGATAAACTTTGGCGTCGAACGAACCCTTCTTTTGACCGGCTCCGCGAATGGGGTCTTCTGATGTCTCCAGCCACGATCTGCACAGCTGAATCGTCTCCTCCGCGCTCCATTCTCGACCCTTCCCCATCTTTCTCGACGAGTTCTTCTGCGCGCGAACTCGTGTCAATGTTGAAGTGTGGGCCACACCACCCTTTAAGATCCGAGTCTTATTTTAAAACCCCGAAAGGCAAATTTAAGACCTGCTGAAGTTAAAACCAGCGTTGAGACTTACCGCTGGGAGCGTTAAGACTCGCTCGAGTCTTAAGCGCGCTACATTTGAGATAAAACCGCCTTTACGACCAACCGCTGGAGATGCTCTTATAGTTTGTTTATTTAACTCAAGCTTAGCCTACCTATAAATATACTCAGCTCACAGCCTACCTTAAACTGGTCACTTCGCTCAAAGGGGACCTGTGGACTTCCGTTCACTGAGAGTTTGTAAGCTCTCGGAAGCCAACTTCCTCTAGCGCCAGGTGCTGTGTGACCCCGTCACAAGACCGGCTTCGCAAATCGCAAACCCATTCGCGCGCTCGTGTTGCTCGGCAGACGTCGCCGCGGCCAAGCTGTGGAGGATATCCGGTCCAATGATGCCTCCCTTCTGAACGGACTCGTCCTGAGAGTCGTGCAAGTGTGGAAACTCACTTCGTTCCATCGTGGCTCGAACGTAGATACCAAAGAGGATTCAGGTAGACCAACTTTAATATAGCTTTGGCTGAACTAATGCCCTTACGCTGCTCATTTCTGTGGTCCACACCCCATCTAAACTTGTTAGCGAGCTTCCCTACATTCTCGTAGTCCAAGTCTAGGAGAACTTAAGTCACCAGCCAACCTACAGATCCCGACAGCTAATGAGCTCAACAGTGTCATCGCCAGCTTCAACACCGTCTGGCGCGCGTATTTCGTCGAGCAACGGCCCAACACGACGCCAGCGCGTGCTGTGGGACAGCGACAGCGCCACGCGTGGTGGCAAGACATCCATTGCCATTCTGCTGGAGTGGCTGACCGCCCCAGGCAACTACGCGCGCTGGCGCGACGGTAAGTCACAGACAGGTGAGACTCGCGAAACGCTATGCTCCGAGATCAAGAGCACCATGCGACAGCACGGCATCCACCACCGAGAAAATGCCAACATCCGCACGCAGATCAGCGAGCTTGAGCGCAGCTTCGACTCTGCGCGCAACTGGCTCAAGGAGAATGACTTGCACCCGTACACGTTCCGTCGCGGGGCGGACGCTGAGGACGATCCTGGGGCTGTCGAGGCGGATGGAGCCCATGGACCAGCAGAGACTCATGTGTTGCGGATGTGTCGCTATTACCACACATTAAATGAGGTGTTTGGTCATGATGAGGACCAAGGCCTTTCGTCAAAGACGACCGTACCATCAGAAGACAGTGACTTACAGTGTCCCGAATAGGAAGCGTAAACTACCCAAAGAAGAGGCGGAAGCGCACGAGGTGGGGCCTAAGATTGTGACCGAGGCGGTGGAGGAGCAGAGGGTATTGCCGAATACTGCGCAGCTTCCCCCATCGACGGTTGCTGCCATTGCACCTGCACTAAGTGCTGCGGCGTCGACGCCTGTGAGCGCTGCTGTGCCAATTCCATCAACTGCTGGACTTGCAGGCACTTGGGCGAACCCCGCGGCACTGGAGAGCACGCAACGCATGCTGGCGGAAGCGGTGCGTGAAGAGCGCGAACGGAAACGCTTCTGCATGGAGGAGGAGCGCAACAAGCTCGAGTGTGAGAAGCTACGTTGCGAGGTGGAAGCGGCCAAATTGAAGCTCACCATTGACCGCGCACTTGCGCGTAAGAAACTATTGGACGCCGGTCTGCCTGAAGCCCAGGTGGATGAGCTCTTTCCGAAATAAACAAGAGTTCTTGCTCGCATAGGACTTGGAGAAGTGACACCGGACACGCTGACCAAACTACTACAGTGGTATGATAACCTGCTGATAACTGTATAAAATGTCAACTCATGTTTTCAGAGCGAAGTTACAGTGCTAGCACACGTTCGCGATACTTGCACAACAGATCACAAACGTTTTTGTCACTCACAGCGACGTCCACAAGATCAGAAGCGATTACATCAGATGTGAGAAACTGCGTCGTCAGATATGGTAAGTGAAAAAGCCTAAATCAGTAACAGATGCAACAGCCAGCCACACAAATTGCCACTCACTTGAACTCGCTGCAACCTTGTGGTTTCAAGGTCGATAAAGAGTCGCACTGAATGCGACTTTAGTACTTGGACTTCCAGAGAATCGTCGGCGATGTTCGTGATATCCAGGCCGGACAGGGATTCCAAAATGTGTCTGACGTGGTCGTACCTGGATGCAAAAAATAAAAACCACAGTTAGATATATAATACTCTGTTTGTGTCGCTGCTTGCCGGTGTCAAACGCACCAATGCTTCATCTGCTGCAGAGTCATGTATTCCTGCTCGTGCTTTTTGACCTCCGCATCCTTACTCCTCAGGTCGTTCTGGTAAAGGAGGCAACATTGATACCAAAAAATAGTCGACTATCCAAAATAGGCTCTCTTTACGCACCTGTTTGGACAGCTTGTCAATCATCCTTTTGGTCCGCTTCCCGTGGGTACTAATATCAATCTTCTCATCCTACAAACCTCAACGACGCAGCTTTTTACTTCAAGTCCTGAAGAAACCATCGATTGCACCTCCTTCACTCACCTCAAGCTGCTTCTGCTTCTGGTGCATTTCCTGGATGCTCTGCGTCTGCTGGTCAAGCACGCGTGCACAATCTTCCTCATCCGTGATCATCACTCCCGTCGCCACTTGCACCGCAGCCTTACGGTGTGCATTCCTCTTCTGAAGCTCCTTCCACACTTCGTTCACCTGCGCCAGTTCGCTCTCGTGCTCCTCTCTCGAGCGTTCGTGCTCCGCCACCTCGTGCTTCTGTTGTTCTACCTCGTCTTCCAGTCTGTCAAGCAGCTGGAGTACATCTTCCCGCTCCCGCTCAGCCGACTGCAGCTGGTTCTTCTCCTGCTCGTAGCCAGCCTCGTCCTGCGCCTTCCTAAGCGCAGCAGCCTTCTGCAGAGTCTCCAACGCTTCCACCTGCACCAGTCGATCCAGCAAGTTTTGCTTGGTCTGCTCAGCCACGGTCGCTTGATTGGAAGCGTGTTGTTCCCTCTACCGTAGAAGCCACCAGTTTAAATTATGCATTTTAAGGGACGAGAAGAAAAAAATCTAAATAGCACATACACGTCCATTCTGCAGCTCAAGCTCAGCAGCTTGCGGTGTTTTGTCATTCTCGCGCAGCTTGTCCAGCACTTTGGCCATGTACAGCGCCGTGAACTGCTCCTCCTGCGGCACCGGAGCACTGTCCTCGGCTTCAGGCATCATTTTGTCGGAAACCTTTTCCACTTTTCGTACCACGCAAAAATTGGGTCTTTGTGCGGGGCAAATCGCAAAAAAATTGGGTCCAGAGCGCCGGCAGGGTGGAAGTTGAAACAGATGCCCTGCTCTTATCCGCACAACGAGATGAAGACGGCGGCTTCATGCTGGGCACATTTCCACATTTGACAAGGGAGCAGCACTTTTATCATGGCGAGCACGAAGAAGGAGCACAAGCAGCACGACGAGCACAAGCATGACGACGGGCTGCCGCTGTTGGACGCGGACAGACACCCGCGGGACAGCATCCACACGGCGCTGCTGGAAGATAAGACCCCCGAGATTCTGTTTCATGAGGACGCCATCGGGGAAACTGACTCGGACAACGAGGACGACGATGTCGTGTCTATTGACGGCTCCGTTGTCTTTGACGAGGACGCCAAGATGGTCATGTACAAGTCGACAGGGAAAGTGGGATCCAAGCAGAAATGGGGACATGAGCCTGTTGCAGCGAACTTCCAGATGCTCAGCGTGGGAATCGCAATGGCGGACGGAGTCGTCGTCAAGGTAGAAGGCTGCTATCTGCCTGAGGATCAGAAGGCGACAACGGGGATGCAGGCCTTTGAGCTTAAGAAGGACGAGTGTATCAGCAAGGTGCATTTGTTCCGGGTCCGACGGGAGATCCACGCGATTCAGTTTGTGACCAATCTGCGCACGTCGGAACGGTTTGGAGGCACTAAGCACGGAGAGCTATGCAAGGCCGTGGAGGCGCCAGAGGGCAAGTACATTGCCAGCTTCTTTGGGGACATCTCGAGAGGCGAGGAGGAGATGGAGTTGGGCGTGCGGTTTGCAAACCGACCGACGGGTGGCGAATCGACCGAGGCGGACGTAGCGGAGATCGATCAAGTGAATTAACTGAACACAGGCGAAAGGGCGGAAAACTTTTTGTGTTTAATGCAAGGCAAGATGCTTATTGAAACTTGCATCACCGATAGGACACACTGCTAGTCGTAAGGTCCTAAAAAAAAGAAGTCAAGTTATATAATGCCTTTCTTCGTCATGGATCATCCGTTCGTACAGATTTGGATCCGCCCCAACGCCCATGAACTCAAAACGTTCTGGTCCAAAATGGACCAGTCGCACTGCTGCGAAGGTTGTTGGGCAGCGCTACTCCGAAGCCACAGCTCAGATCTCAGACTGTTTACATGCTTGCGGGCCTGGAGATATGTGGTCTTGCAGCACAGGCACCGGTTCCGTAAGCCCACACCCCGGGAATGGCAGCAGACGCGGTTCTTCGAGGTGCACAACCGTAGACTTCCTAAAAGCTTTGGTTGCTGGAACTATGAATGGAAGTAACTTGTATCTTGCTATCTTACACAGATGGAGCTACCATTGCATGCTGCAGCCACTGCCTTAAACCACTGCGGAGTTGCGCTAGACGAATCTTCCGAGCTGCTCAGGAGCTTCTACGCTTTGTTTCCAAACTCTACAGGATTGTTGGATCACTAGGTTATTACAAATCGCTACTAGCGAGACAACCTCTGCACGCCAATTTGAGTAAACTATCATGTGGTGTGTCATGCAGCGACGACCACCTCTTTACTACGCCTTAGAGCAGCGCTGGGGGCTGGAGAAGCTCTCATGGCTGGTGGACAAGAGTGTGGGTACTGCTTACGAAAAAGACTTGGACGGGTTGTCCCTCGTTACGCACGCTCGCAAGAATGCGTGTCCTGAAGAGTTGGTCATTCGCCTGGCCGTCGCGGCTGCGTCTCATTGTATCCTTGCTCTCGACGAGCTTTTGCACGGTCATCACTGTGAAAGCGCTCGTAGGGTAAGTTCGGATGCGTCATGATTTTAAAGTACTGCCAGTTGGTACTGCCACATTCATTTATTTTTTTCAGTTTTGCCATCGTGCACTTCAAGATTATTTTGCTGGAGTCCCGAAATTTCCACACACACACAATGCCGTGAAGTTGCTAGTTTGTGTCGAAAGTATGACGAAGGTGACGCCTACGCAACTGCCAAGGTGATCAGAGACGCTTGGGTACATTACATCGATACTTGACTTTCTATTCGTGCCGTGGTGTGTAAGACGCCGGCTCATCAGCGCACTCGAGTAAATTCAATTGAACTCAAGAGCCCCGAAGAGGTATCAAGCCCTGATTTTACAATCTTTGAGCGCGATTGGGCAGTGCTGATCCCATTCTTGCGTGACTCGAAAGAAGTATTCGAAGTACCACCGCCTACCCCGTCACTAATTGAACGAACCAATGCACTCCTTGTACTGGAATTGACTCCAATACTACAGAGCCAGCACGAAGAAAGGAATGATGACCGCGCCACTAGATGCGAAGATGAACGTGCCAGAATAGCAGACGAGCAACGCACATTTTCGCCGTACTTTTACGTCGTGGAGATGGCAACGTTCTCGCCAACGTTTTGGCGTCGATATGATCAAACATGGTGGTTCGATAAAACGAAGACTAATGTCATTGACGGGATGTACAAGGTCGTGCATCGCGGGTTCGGTACGAAGGTTTCGATATCTACCTCCGCTTATGCAGGTTGTGTGCGCGTAGCTTGGTGCAGCATTGATCGTTTTGGAGACTACAGCGATCCCTTACTACTGCCACCGCTCCCTGATTATAATGGCGATCCATTATCGGATCAATTGCTGACAGCACCACATAGTCACTCCGTAGAAATGAAAGCGACAATGAGCAGATTACAGCAGCTACTCGACGATCTTCAGCTTGACAACGGTACTCTAAGCAAGGTGTATGGTCTACCACGATATGTAAGAAGTGTTGCCGACGCTGCAGCAACTCTATTGGAAGCCAAAGTGGTGCTAAGATCGTGCAACTTGGAGCTGGCGCTGCTGTTATCGGGATACAAGACCTTAGAGAAGCAACTCAGGCAGATTAAACTTGCAACTGGTTTCTATGCGAAACTACTGCATCCTTTCTTGCTCGTTCAATGTATAATCCCAGCATTGGATGGGTGCCCTGTCGAGAGTCTTCCGATTATTCGCCGGCTTCACGAATTACTGAGTGTAAGTCTCTGATTTATTTCTTGAATCGTGCGTACGAGGTACAGATCGCTTACGTTGCTGCCCACTTTCTCGTTCGGTTGCCAGGAAGTGCACGACGTGATCGTCAGACTGTCGGCCCCAGGATGGTTGCAGTAGTACGTCCCCCACACCGTTAAAAACTCAGCGAGCTGGATCTCACACCTTTCTTTTGTTATTTCTCAATGCAGCCTTCTTATGGACGTATGGCTCTTGGACGCACTACACAAGATTTCTAGCACCTTAGCGATGATATTGGCAAGCGATGACTGCGCTCTGCAATGTTCTCGTATGGGCTTAGAAGTGTCCGAGGACAATTGCATTCGCTGGACCATGAAGACGGCGCGATCCTATCTACTGATCGCGGTGGGTCGGCTCGAGGAAGCAACTGATCGAGCGACGAAGCTGCTAATTTGCCGTGAACTGTGCAATACATTACATCTCTATCCCGAGAATATTCAAGGTGACGATGAAGAAAAGCTCATAGCACTCATTGCTGACCGATTCCTTACCGAATTTAAGTCACGAGCCTCGCAGCAAGCACTAGAAGCGCTGCGCCTACAAGATTCTTTTGAGAAGCACCTGGTGTCAGTGACGACCCACGATGGAGAGAAAAGTACACGCGTGCCTGAGGCTGTTCACTTTGACTTGGATCCTTACATCCGAGGAGTCAATCGCACTGGAATGCACCTCGTTATCCGAGTTTCAAACGTGTCTCTCGACAGTTGCGCTGTCCAGGGAAAGGCATCATTTTGCGAGCGCACAGGCCGATTAAGTTTCATCCCTGCAGCTGAGTTCGAACGAAATAGTCATTACCGTGTCAGTGTTCGTGAGCAAGAAATGTTGTCAAGTCTCGGCGGTCATTACCGGAAAGACCTCCTTTTACTGTTCACTTTTCAACGCCATCATGAAACAAATAAATTACTTTCGAGCTGACAAACTTGTCATTCTTTACTAAAATCTCAGCATCCCACACCGCCTGCAAGCCTTAAACACGACGTGCTCTGGAAAACGGACAGGATACAGGCCACGAGAGCTACAGAGAAGCTGGCGCCTATTGTCAAAAACACCGTCAACCCCATGCGCTTGCAAGATCCTCCTCGGGCTTTCAACTGGCGTGCATCGTGCCTCTGATTTGGCAACAAGGGTAGTGCCCCCAGCCCAACGACTGCACGCACCGTGAATAGCACCGCAAAAAGCGCCCCAGCTCTCACGCGAACATCATCCGCGTCCCGTTGAATGTCAGCATCAAAGACTTGGAGATACGAACCGATTGCGTTGCTTAAAGCGGTTGCCACCGGATCCGCGAGGTTGTAGACGGAAGTGACAAGTCCGTAAGTACTGCTCTCGAACCCAGGTTCTGCAATTTCCACTACTGCGAGCATGCGAACCATCATAGCGATGCAGTCAGCAAACCCAACCATCTCCGTAGCAGCCAGAAAGAAAAACTTGCTGCGCCATATATCGAATACCGCCACCATTGCCACAGGGAAGCTGACGATTAGCCCTCCAAGCAACGCAATGCAAACTGATGAGTGCCAACTCGTCGACAGAAGACGTCGGTGCACGAAGACGGAGGCTGCGACAGAGACACCACCGTTTGCAAGCGCTAGAAACAGATTCTTCATGAAAGGGTCGGTGTGCAGCCAGAGCTCGTGTATGGCTTGCGAATGGGATGCAGAGTCCATTCGAACGACAGACTCAACTTCTGCAGAAAACCGAAGCTGGCAATTTGCCATGTTGCACGCTGTTGCATGATGTGCCAAAACTCGCCCAGTTTTGATCGCAAATTCGGAGTTGCAACAGATATCGAGCTGGTATCGCTAGCAACCTCGGTTCTAATGATACACGGCTTACCAAAGCCCCACACTGCTGCGCATAATGCAGCCAAGGCAGCCACAAGCAAAACCGCAAACAGCCCTCGAAGCGACATCTCAAATGAAAACCCACCGCTATACTCTTCCGAATTCATTCCCACCGCAACAAGAAGCGTCCCCATTGACTCTGCAATGAATCTTGCAGCATGAACTGCAGTCTGCGAAAGATTCGCACCGTGAAGCACTCCTCTCTCTTGGAGTTGGCTGTCGCGGTTAACTGCTTCCACCATCAATCCGTCACACGCCGCGTCCACCAGCAAGTGCCCGACTGACGCAACGGTGATCATGAAAATGAGTCGTGGCGCATCACCAAGGTCACGATCATCTGGATGAAGTATCATCATTAAACCGAGAATGAACAGTACGAGCGTCCAACCAATGTAAATGTACGAAATCCGTCTGCGTCCACCAATTGGTACACAGTCCGTTAGCAGACACAGCACCAGTTTCCCGTGCCACGCACATCCCAGTAATGTCTGTGTTGCATTTGTTTGGTAACCTTGCAGCCCTAAGCGGATCTTGAACAACGGGTATACCAGAGCTGGCACGACACCGTGGAATAGTCCAGCAGCGAAGTAGTTGATCAGGAGCGCCAAGCTGCGACGCGATTGATAGTTGACCCTCTGTTCGTAGACGGTCGGTAATGGGGACTGCACCGTCTCGTAGAATCCCAAAGTGCTGTCGCTGTCGAGTGGGCTGGCAGTGACTGTGGACGCTACGTCGAACTTGTTAAGATTCGTGCCTGATACTCCAGTACCACCACTAAAGCTGAAGTTGCTTCTAAACGACCAGGATGAGCAATGCGGACTCAAGAATTCGCGTGTCATGATTGCAATAGGCTTGGACTGGTTTGGTGATTGCGCTTGACTGGGATTGTATGATAATGAGGCAGGGCTCACAGCCAGCACTTCACCTTAGACAATCAGGTGACCAATATAGTGTTTGGTAGGATTTGCTTACTTAGATGCTGTATCCAGCTCGGTTTTATGATATATGCGTTTTAGTAGGCATGTTGAAGTGATAGACCAATCAAGTATTAGAATACCGTATCGGAAAAGGGTGTCGAGCATACGTTCGATTTGGCAGTGTTTGGAACAGCTCAAGACTAAGGAGCATTAGATCGTGGTACTTGTAGTGAGCGTGATTGCATTTGCATTTGCATTTGCATTTGCATTTGCACACACTTGCTATTTTGACAGCCATTCGACTTGTTATCTCGTGGCGACGGCGTCTGAGTAAACGACCCCTTTTCCGAAATCTTGTCTGGACTCATGGACGACAGAACACATTTTTTGGATACATGTAGCTTTTTAGACGTGCTTTTATGGCGCCACATAATACTATCTCGATAGCCGTTGTAAGAGAAACCTTTGTCAGGATGAGATCGGACGTCGTCTGGACGGATTGCAATGGTAGCCATCTCAAAGACTGAAAAGCGCCCAGGCTGATCGTTACCTACAGGGATTTGTCTAGCGTGCAACTCGTCTAGACATGGATCCAAGGAGATTGTCATGATGGGTCGCCATGATGGAAACCAAGTTCATCCTGTCTTTCCCTGTTTGACAGGGTTTCAGCTCCAGGTTTTGAAAGTCGTGCATTAAGGTCAGACGGCGCGACATGGACGGTAACCATTTCTATTAAATACACATACATTCGAAAATCTAGCAGCGCTCTTCTCTGCTGGATGTTGCGGTGTGTTTCTGTGTCTGTATCACTAACGGAATGAAGCACTGTCTCATCTCCAACTCAGATCGGCAAAAAAAAAGTCAGAGTTCGGAAAAGCAAAGTAATTATTTTATTGGGCTGGCCAGTAAATAGCAAAAAGAATTACTACTGTTTTTCAGTCTTTAGATCCCGTCCTCACGACTGGCGCTCCCAGGTCCCTTGCCTCTACAACCCTGTACACAGCTAGCAACAAGCATCGGGATTGTGTAGGAGCTTTAGTCTTCTTAGCGCGCGAAATTTTAGTAGTTCTACGATCGCATGTGCAAAACTGAAATCTAGTACTTGTCTATGCGTAGACTGAAATCGCCGCAGCACTAATGAACTTACCCACATTAGGGTGTGAATTAGATAAGGAACATGGCGGTCACGGAAAGATCTTCTTCTGCAGGTGTCGCCACAACTTGACATCTTTCGACTGGAATCTGTGGCGCGAGCTGACACGCTTACACCTGCAAAGTGAACTCCTTTAGAGGGCTCTATTTCTTTAAAAAGAAGTATAAAAACTGCGTAGTAGGTGTCATCGGTGAAGATGCTCGGCAATGTTGGTGAAGCTTCCAGTCGCGACCAACTTCGTGTGTTGCTGCTGTCACGGTGTACAGTTAGATGGTGGATTAACGACGCTGGCTGACTGCCTACAGAAGGTCTACTCACTCCAGACTCTCCGGACCACGTCCAAGCAAGCGGGACCTGCGACCAAGACAGTGACGTTCCAAGTGTGAGGTCGTGAAGCAGCTGGTCGTGGCGGGAACTAGATCTGGACCGCCACACACGAGGGACCTGCGGAAAGGTAAGGAGCTCTGGAAGCTCGTAGCGAGGTGAAATGAGGAGGTCAGTCGTGGATTTGCTACCAACAAACAACACAAGAATATATCAACTTTTACATTACTATCCCAGTAGTGTCGCTAATACTACTACCTCCTACGTCGGCCCAAGATACTCACGACCCCGATTAGAGGAAGACCGCGACAATTCGGTGGAGAAGCAGGGTCTCTTCTAGCCGAATTCCGTAGGAGTACAAGCGTGAAAAGAAGCTTTAAAACGGAGTGCCAAGGAAGAAGGATAGAGAAGTGGGAAAAGGATGAGTGCTCAGGGATGGTCCAGCGAGGGACTTGGAGCCGGTAAAGGGGTAGGGGGATGGGCTCCTCCGTTGGAAACGGAGCCCGTGGAGATCCTCGAGGAGGAAGAGGAAGCGCGCGCTGAGAGAGCTGCTGACGGCGGCACGCCGCAGAGGCTTCAAGGAAGAAAATGTCCGGGAGATGGCGGGGAACGTGGTACGCCGCAGCGAGCTGATCCCGAGACGGGACGGCACGAGACACGAGCGGTTCACGTGGAAAGGCGAGGACATGTTCGACGTGGCGTCTCCGTCTCCGGGAACGAGAAGGACGGTTGAGTCTGTGTCTGGAACGCCTCAGGGTGGACAGATGTCCAACACAGTCCTTGAGCAGCGGGCACGTCAACCGGCGCCCAGCGAAGGAACGACGCCTGCAAGGACGACGCCGGGTACGCTCTTGGACGCTTCGGTGATGGACTTGGGAGGTCGTCACGAGGTGGGGCTCGCCTTAGATCGGACTCGTCCCTCCTTGCAACCGATGGACGACTCTAGAAGGGAGGTGCCCCTGGTCACGTCAGCGTACGGACAACCCAACAACAGCGTGCCGGGCCAACAAGGAAGCAGAAGTGCTCCAGGAGTTACACCTGTTGTTGCTGGAACACCTACGCGAGCGTACGTACCTGGTGGAAGTCGAGGAGAGACGCCGGTTCAATCGATGAGAACGCCGACGAGAGGAAGTGGGACGCCGACGACGGACCCAGCCTTACAGGCTTTCAGCATGAACGGTCTCGCCCAATTGCTACAGAGGGCTGGAATGACGAACGGAACGCCGGTGCCGTCACCAAGACTTCAAGCTACGGGAAACGTGCCGCGTACAGTGCCGACGCCGACCCGACCAGTGACGTCTTCAATGATGGGGTACCAAGGACCTATGACCTCGAGAATGAGGACGCAAACGCCGGTTTCGACACCTAGCCGAATGCCGATGGCTATTCCTTCGTATGAAGGTGTGTCAATTCCAACGGCTGGTTCCACGTGGAGCGGTAGAGGTGGTGGAACGCCCCAAAGGAGTGCGTTCTACCCTCCCTTCCAACCGCCAATGACGTCGACACCTGGGTGGGCTACTGCTGGAACGATACCCGCGTGGTCTGCAGCGTCTGCACGGCCGACACCTGCCAGCCCCAGAAGCGGAACGTACGGATTGCCGTTCCAAAGAACGTCTTCTATGAATGTTGCAACGTTCCAGGGACGAGCAGGAGCGCTAGGACAAGAAGGGAACGTGGGTGCTCAAGGGGGAAGGTACGCACCTAACGCAGTACCTCCGCAAGGGCAAGTGACGAGTCCGTACTACGACCAAGGAGTCCGCAATGGCTCGCACGGGTCAGGAAGAGGCGCTCAGCAGGACGTTCCGATTGTTGGTATCCCGACAGAATTACGTAACGCTGTGAAAGTTATCGTCCCGTTCTACTCAGAGACGGCCACGTACGAAAGGGCGGCCGCGTTCTGGCGTTCGTTCGAGAAGTGTACGCTCGGTATGGACGACCAAATGCGGTTGACTGCCTTTGAGCAGTGTTTGAAGGGCAAGTTGGGTCAGGAAGGGTGGTTCAATGCGAGGATCAACGACTTTGAAACTCTGCGCGTGAGATTCCACAACTGCTTCATCTTTCACACGCCAGCTCAGTTGTGGAGCCGACTCAAGGCCGCTAAGAGGAACTACGGTGAGTCTGCGGAAGAGTCGGGCAACAGGATCATCACGATGTGCGAGTACCTAAACTATCACGAACCTCGTATGCAGTACGAATTCTTCCTCGATGGGTAAAGGAACAAGCAGATGCGGGCCGTTTTGAATGCGAACTTAGCTGCGTCGATCCAGGAAGCGTGCGCTTTATTGCTGTACAAGAATCTGCACCTCCCTGTGGAAGAAGATGACGAGTTTGCGAATAGTGGAACGACGGTGAGGAACGTGAACGCGGTGACGTCCACGCAGTCGCAGATACTCCAGCAGCTTCAACAAATGAACCAGTTGATGCTGAAGCAGCAGCAGAATCCTGGAACGTCACAAGGGTTCGTTGGCGCCGTGGCACCTACGAACGTTCCAAGTACTGGCGCTCCAACTCCGAATGGGAACGTGGCTGGCGCACCGCTCGGACCTCTTCGCATCCGACTAGGGCCTGACACGCGTACCACGGAAGGAGAAGTGGTTTGCGGACGCTGTGGTCGTGTTGGATGTGGACGTGAGACGTGTCCCCGTGGACAAGGCCGTTGCAATCGGTGTATTAAATTTGGACACTACTCGATGGAGTGCAACTGGCCAAGACCCCAAGGGAATTACCGGAACGGAAAGCGACGCCAAGCGGAATGTCTGCTGTGTGGCAAGGCGGGTCACCTGGTGGCGAGATGCCCGATCCTCGATACTTTGCGCGGAAGGATGCAGAGCGTGGCCGCCGGGAACGTGACTGCACCCGCTGGTGCGTCCCAACAATGAAGGGGGCAGGAGGAAGGGGAAGGAAGTGTCCCTCCTTCCTCTTACCTGGTTGGCGACACGAAGAGAGATGAGGGTTCACCGCGACAGAACTTGCCGGGTGGGCATCAGAGGGCTCTCGGAAGAGGTGTGATAAACGAAGAAAGCGCACGCGACGTTCCAGTCACGAGCGTAAAGACGGAAATTGTGGAAACTAAAAGTGGAACGAGTGGAGAGAGCAGTCCGACGGAACGGACTGGGCTAGAACGAGACGGAGCTGTCGCTGAGGTAACAACGGAACGTTCCTCTGCGACGCTGAACTGAGAAAACGAAAAAAGGGCACGTTCTGAGTTGGTACAGGACGTCAGTAAGGGAGAAGCGGAACGCCCCGAGACTGCGTCAGACGCCAAGAACGAGTGTCGAGAGATCGAGGGCTCTTTTGAGAGGCCCGTACGAGAGAGAGTGGTCGCTGAGGAAACAACGGAACGTTCCTCGAGGAAGCTAATCTGGTAAAACGGAGCAACGGAACGTTCCAAGTTGGTGGAAGACGTCTGTAAGGGAGCAACGGAACGCCCCGAGACTACGTTGGA